TAGAGATGGCAGGTTTCAGCTACGGTCCTCGTGATCGAAATACCAAGGTTCACTTCAACTGGAATCGCAGTCAACATTGAGATTGAGTGTCGCAATCCATCCACACAAAATCTAATTCAAAAGTGACCCTCAAAAAACCAATGGTGTTATACTCGCTAACCTGGTATTTACTACGGGCACTGGTTACGGCTGAGCAAATCTATCACACTACTATTCAGCGGCTAGCTCTAACGTGCAACCCATGAAGTAACCGTAAAGCGAATAATGCCAAATGATATTGTCTTCAAGGCTATTCGTCCCATTCAGCTTCAGCTGATCGGGAAACGGAAGATTTTCGATGGCATAGCAGCTACAATAACGCTGAAACTGGTCAACAACATTGATAACTGAGGAAGAGTGCGATTTCGGCTCACAGCGAATCTTCCCGGTTAATACGATGCAGGTACTAAAGTAAAAATCTGGTCGAAGAAACTAGGTGAGATAGACAGTGAACGATTTGGACACGGGGTCGAAACTCCTAGCAGTAATTGGGCTGTAAGATGAACCATCTGAACTCAGATGGGGCGTAGAAGTCACAATTCCCAATGCTGAAGAAATCTGAAGTAGTATGTCAGAAGGGAGAAAAAAGTAAACACGTGGTGGAAACCAACGATTACTGGCCCGTCCGCTCAACGCAATGTTGTCTGGTCTAAACATAAAGTGCCGTTTGAACGACAGCCGTCATTCACATTTCTAAAATGAAGAAAAGGACATTGTCGGAACCTTCGGGGCACTGGCTCGAATCATCCACAAGCAAATGGGCTAAAGAGGCCCACTGCAATCCGAGGGTGTTTTATCACGACAGTTGATGCCTTGATTCCCTTTTCAGGCTACGAGACAAGCTTAGACGATTGGTAGAGTACTAAATGAGAAATGGTAAAGTACAACAGCTGGAAGTTAGTAACACGTATTCGCATAATAGCCAACCGGCTGTTCCTAGACTTGCAGTTCATCGATAACGTGCCTACCACGACGAAATTTCGGGTAGATAAGATGATGACAGAACGAAGAAGCATGATGCATCGAACCAAGAAAGGAGTCATATTACAATCGTCCCAGATGACGGACTTGCGACCGGCAATATCGGTGGTCAGGTAAGTCATTTGGCAACCTAAAATTATGAAACAGCAGGGAATCTGTCAAAAACGGATGCTTGTACCATGAAAGTCTTTAGTATAACGATTCCCTTCAATCCCTGAACATCCTCGTATATCCCGAAATTCCCTCATTTCCTCTCTACTGCCGATAATCGCCAGCACGGTGAGGCATTTCATGGAAAATCGAGAGGCTTAATTTGGTTCCAGAATAAGCGACCGTTTGGTTGAATTGAACAGGGTCACGGAACACCAAGTTAACGGCGAAATGATGGCAATAATCCTAATGAAACTATCAAGATGCCAACACAATTTGATGCATACCCAAAGTCCAAGCAGAATAAGATGAAGTGGAGCGTGCTGAAATCACGGAAAAGCGGTTATACAACAATGAGGAAACGCGAAAATTATTTGGGAACATAATCATCATCGGCGGTAGGCACGCGGTAAGTTGAAATGCCATGATAATCCGTGGAATGATGGCGAATGAGGGGAACAAGCGTAAAGCCTAAATGTACTGACCAAACATTCGGAGATAAGATGCTTACATCTTGTCAACAAGCGTTCAGCGATCGTGTGAATATAAGCTGCCATCGACGAGATACATCGTTCGAGACCTTCATCGCCCTGTGCCACTACAACCAAGCAGCCTGGCGAACGCGCCGGTGGTGCAGACTACGATCCGTCTTGTAGGGCTACGGAATAAGTACAAGGTGGGTTGCATGGCATCAAGCTTAAAAAGGGAAACATACAAACATTAGCTAGCACAGTAGTCAGCATGTAAATCAACTATGCCTCACGAACCTGGTACTACCTTGTATCTCGTAAATAAAACAATACCCACTAGGTATACAGCAATCTTGCCTACTTAGAACGTATCCAAGCCACCGCGTTAATGTTATCTGCTGCTCAAACGAACAAACATAGTCACCACCAATTAATACTCGCCAGTGCAAATAATTGACGCGGACAAGCAGGTGTCATCTGGTAACAATAGTGGCCCGCATGCAAGAACTATCGGAGGTAGCCCAAATCCTGAGACCGAGGAGGCCATCTGAGTCACATACAGCTGCTCTGTATGTAAGGTACCACAGATGTCCAAGATACAAAAGTGAGGTTCTATCCCTCGCATCTACCACAGCCGATCCAACTACCAAGTTAGACAAACTGATAAACGATGTCTGATCCGTCGCCATCAAGATTCAAGGTGTACACAAGTGATTGTTCACCATGCAACAGCATTCTGGATGTGGGTAATGCATAGGAAAACATGAAAAAGTAAGTAACTTATTCCGAGTAGACGGTGTCGCTAGCGATAGCGTCCATATAATCCAGACCAATTGTCACTAGGTAGCATTACAATGTCGACATAGCGAGATTCCACAAAGGAACACTCCATGATAGGGTCCATGGCAAAATTAAGCGGAAATGGAGAAGTGGTGCAACCCTGATGAAGGTTAAACGTTGGAGAAAAGACATCCGATAATTCAACCCAGATCCCGATAAGACCAGTGGCGCCGGAGTTACGAAACAGATAAAAGACTTTCACAGTTGATTGGAACAACTTTCTGAGCAAGTATACCGAACAGAACGCAACGATCAAATAGGTCGAGAGATAATTTCGGAAAGTTGCAGAATACTAATCGGTTTCGTATAGGAGTACAGTACGTGACACGCTGCTCTGGCACTTGCCGTAGGAGACAAACCGAGATTTTAGTTTTGCAGCAGGTCAACGAAGCATTAGTTAGCACGGACGACACCACTGTCCTTATATGTTGTCACTAACATTGATTCAATCCAAATGGCTGATATAATCTTGTCTGTCCATAGCTACCTGAACACTTGGGTTTATGCTTAATAGAGGTCATCACCATGCGTAAATAATGGGCGAAAGAGAATCCGGAGCAGTAAGAAGAAAAGGACTGCAGTTGTGAACGCGTTTAGAACCTGAGTTACCAATAAAATCGGCCATGGTTCGGCCTACGCCAACTAGCCACCAGATGTCTGGGAGCAAGGAGCCAGTTAAGCTGTTGCCGGAACTATGCTATCCACTGAGCCATACCGCTTCCCTTCTCCTGAACTGCAGTGTCAATAAGGTAGTACTGAAGAGTAAGTTTATGGGACAAGCCGTGCGAATCAACTTGAAGACGCCGTGGCAGCTGACCATCACTCTTACTTCCTGAATCGCCTGTGCAGTGGGCATGCAGCGTGTCCATGATATTTCGCAGGCACCGTACTAATTCACGCCAGTTCATATTTTGCTCGATGCCAGTAGACATGCTCTCCTTGATTCTAGAAGGCGCGTTAACCTTCCGCATATCCGGAGTGTGATGACGACTGCCAGTGCGGCGAGCAGGGATCAGCATTGTGCATGGCTGCGAAGACACTATACCACTGAAGCTCGATATTCACAAAATAAATGAGCGACACATGATACGCAGGACGGCTCAGTAACTTTGCACCACCGACAGCTGGGATTGCTTCTCGGTTACGAACACAGCGAAATGTTTGCTGTGCCTTCCGATAAGCTTCATGGAAACTAGGTAGAGTACCAGGACGTGATCAGAAGCGAATCAGGTGTTCCACTATTAGTGACGGTTTAGAACGAAACCAAGCCACTGGAAACTTGTAGTGATGTGGTACATACCGTTTTTCCTTACACTGGACGCTTTGCGAATTACGCTGTTTTAAGCAGACTAGGCAAGAAAGGGAGGATAAAGCGACTGGACGATGTTTGCGCAAAGTTGCGGCCAAGTTGATGCAACCCAGTTTGTCCAAGCTCCTTCCTTGACTGTAAGTGTCATTCCATTCGATCAAAGGCAGAAACCTGGTTGTTCTCTGTCTCATCATCATCTCTCGACAGTTAGCAGATGAAGTATCGTCGTGCTGCTGTCTTTGTTAAGTTCATCCAAGGTTCGGAGTCTTTCCCCAAATTTCCCACGTAGTTAAGCTTCTGAGGAGCTGAGATGACATGAGCGTTAATGTCTTCCGTAAGAAGAACTATACTCGTACTAGTGATACTGTGAAGCAGCGTGCCAATTTGGCGGTAGGGGCCCTTGACAAAGCATAAGCAGCATCAACATCGTCATACAGGCCAAGCCCTGCTCTGATCATTAACCTTACTTGCCGCTATAAAACGAAGAGCCCACAAACAGCTACTCATGGAAATCCAATCAATAAACAGGTGCCTCAGCCATGGAATCGTGAAGAATTCCCACTCCAAGCTGATCAGTGGTTGCTGAATTAAGGCCGCCGGATGCGTGTAACCAGTCGATACGTTTTCTCAACAAACTAGCGAGGCACAGACTTAGGACAATCAGTACACGTCAGCATGTGCAGTGCGCGTGGAAATACGAGCAATGAACGCTGTCAGAGAAGGGCGGTGTGGCCTCATAAGAAAATGTCGGTGACAGATGTGGAACAGGGACTGGGGGAAGATAGTAATATACATCAAAGCACTAGTCGCAGCAGCAGTGATCAATTACGCTGGGGATAACATAAGGAGAATCAAAGCCGGGAACGGGAGGGGTGGAAAAGCAAGTGGAACAGAGGGGGGCAAAAGCATTAGCATGATTTTAATCCGATCGGCCATATGGAGAGAATAATGTGACGATCAACGAAGAATGTAGCTTAATACCTGTAGTTTCATTGATAATTGTACTCGAGCTCGGATAGTGTCAGTGCCCACACCACAGTTTTGCTGCATTGACCTGGAAATATGGCGATGATCTGGTTCTACTGTGATGGGTGCCACCCGAGTGCCAGGCTGGGTGCCTGAAGACTTAATCCATCTAACCATCACCCAATCTGGCAGCAAGAATTCCTAGGAAACCCGAGCACATTAGGGTGCATAGGGGGTGAAGAAATACACAAACCAATTACTTCGTTAGAATCCATCGTTGGTACTAGGAGAGTTAGTTTGAAGCACCCAACAGTTAAAGCAAGTCGTTTAGGCATTACAATAAATGTAACTGTTGGGAAAATATGGGTAACGTGTTACAAAATAGGGGGAATTATCGGTGATGATGCTAGGATGGAGAACTCTGGTATCGAAACACTTTAGCTGGTCGCCAAGCAGTGCTCAGGTAAAAGCTATCAAAAGATTGGTCGAATTAATAGATGACAAGCGGCGAAGACAAGCGTTTAATGCGATTCAAAATCAGGGTTTCAACAACATGGAATAAGAGGCAGTGATGGCGGAAAATTGTAAGTTTACAGTAACATGACGAGCATAAGCCGCGTAGTTCCTAAAATCCATAGTTTGTAATCCATAATCATGGGACTACAAGGCTTGTTTAAGTATTCCATCGCTAGTCAAGTACGCACGGCAACAAAGGAAAGGGAAGATAGGTGAGAAACATATAGACACAAACGATCGTCAGAATAACCCAAACCGCCAATCTAGCTCTCTAACTGCAGCAGCAGTTCAGTGGCTTGAAAAAATATAATAGTATCAGGTCGTCGGAGACTGAGACAGCTTTATTACAATTTTTGAACAGGAATCGATGAGATATCACCGGATACTTTATATCGCGATTTTATGGGACGGAACTCCAGGATTACAGCGGCTTGGACGTTCGAAGCTTAAGATTGGAGGAACACCAAGGTCCACAAATTCATCGTTGTCCTTGGTTCCGTATGTATGGACACAATTATGGCAAGATAAAGTTCGTCATTCAAAGCATGAGATATTCGTATAAAGAACTAGCTGGGAAGAAAAGAAGCTCAAAGTGAAGGAACAGGAAATGTGTTGCTCAGAGGGGACATTTCCAGTAGCTCAAATCTTCAAAAGTGAAGCCACCATAATCCATAGCACTGGGATATAAAATCGCAACACAAAGACTTCATTGGAGCAGGTGCGTAACCGGCAATTAGGATCAACTTGATGGGTTGATGTTATTGGCTCGGGGAGCAGTGTCGGAAGGAAGTGGGGGTTTACGATTGCCAGTCGGAATGGAAGCGGAGACCTTGGCAGCTGTTTCTGTGGGGACGGATGATTTTGTGGAAGGACCACCACTATGCGTCAACGGAGCGCTCAACTTCTCGATCATTGCAACAGCATACTCAAGTCTTCCAATAAGGTCTGGAATGATGCCGTTCTGTAAAAGCAACTGGAACTGGTAAGTCTTGAAATCTCTTTTGGTATCAATGTATGTCACAGCGCGCATTAATGGGCACAGAATAATTTTGGTGTGATCCTCGAAGAAATTGATCTATAAGAAAAAAATAAAGAAATGAAAATCAGTTTGTCAGTAGCTATCGAAAACGCAGGCACATTGTCACACTTGGACGGAAGCTTTCAGCTAGTGAATGAAGATGCATATGAGTATGTAAATTTACAGGTACAAATGAACTAATGAATAATGCGGACGCAAGCAGAAAATAAGAAATGGATTAGAAACTAGGTAGGACATGTTGAAGGGTGAAACAGGCATGCGAAGACTCGATGAAATAAAAATAAAAGCTCTTCGAAGGAAAAGTTGACAGATCTGAACGTCCCAGCATTGCTTAGCACCAATATCCGCTCGCTCATGGTGAAATTAAATGAACTATCAAAAATTGTTTTCGCAAGAGAGCTTTCGCAGCTTGGAATCATTATGTTGCAAGAAACCTGGCTCCATGAAGAAGTGGGTGATGCAGGCATATCCGTTGGAGAATTTATTTGCCATCGGACTGACCGCCCATGCACGTACCGAAACCGATGTGGTGGAGTACTTATTACACAAATCCGTCTTGGTGTATTGCAACAGAACGTGCTTTTTGCTTCTCCTCAAAGTTTAACAATTGTTTAGTCATACAATGTAAGCCGGTGTATGAATGGCTACTGCTCAATGTTGTTAGCTAACATCAACAAATCTCCCACCTGTCCCGAACCTGAAGCTGAGGATTTTTATGATGAATTTACTGCAGCTGTCACAGAACACATCGATGGTTCTCTGTGCATCTTCGGCGGAGATTTCAATAGATGTGATACTACTTTTCTCACCGCTCTCGGGTTGCGAAAGACTGCCAATCTGCCCACCAGCTCAAACGCAACCTTGGACCTGGTATTTGTTAAGAATGTGAAGTGGTTCTCCGCATGTACTCGTGCTCCAATTGGTAATTCTGATCACTCAAATATCAAGATTTCATCCGTCATCTATAGCAAGAACAACCACCAGCAAATCACTCGCTACAATGATCGAAGGGTCAGGGGGAGATAGTGCTCTCCACAAAATCTCGACAAACTTGGTGAAATGATCGCATCGACGGAATTTAGTTTGTTTTTTGACCTTGATGTATCCAGGTATTGTGATAGTTTGACAATCTATTTAAACTTCTGTTTGATATATTGTGCTTTGGAAACTATTTACGTCCGCGCTGATAGGTTTTCATCTCCCCAGTTGATGCGGCTACGCCGCCTTAAGGAGAAAGCGTTTAAAGAAAAAGACGGCACCTCAGTAAGACCTCTCCCAAGTCGTATCAAGGAAGAACTACACCGTCTTAACAAAATATATGTCCAGTCTGTTCTAGGGAACGGCAGTTGTGGTGAACCCTGGAGGATGCTGAAAACGCTTAACGGAGGTACTCGATGTTCACCCTACTTTGATGTAGACGTAGAGAACATGAATCAGGAGTTCTGCAAGTGTAATACTACCACAACTACGGAGTCTTCCTGTGCCAAAGTGCCGGGGTCTGCTGAACCACTGCCTCCCCTTAACAGTATAACCGTAAATAATGTGCTGAAACATCAACGTTCCGGTAAAGTCAGTGGGCCGGACATGCTATCTCCTATCTTAAGCAAAGAATATGCCGATTGTTTGGCAACACCACTTGCGAACATATACACATTGTGTATGCAGCAACAAAAAATAGCCGACTGTTGGTGAAGCGTCGAAATTACACCAGTGTCGGAAAAAAGGATCCAACAAATATCGACCTATCGCGTGCAGTTTCGTTGCTTTGAATGTTCTGGAGAAAGTCATTCTTGAAATGATGCCGTCCAGAACACGCTCTAAGGACTCTTCCAGTTCGCCTATTGTAGTTCGAGGTCGTCTAGATGCTGTGGCCTACCTGGTACATTCTGTACTGTCATCGCCCAACAAGAGGAATAAAGTAACTCGGATGTGCTTCAAAGTGCCATGACATTTTTTTGCCTTACACAAAGGATCCAGGTACGAAGAGCTCCTTACGCTGTGCAACAAGTTACATATTGATGGCGACGGATTACAGTCCTCCACATCAGTAGTAAAATATCAGAGTGTAACGTTGAGTTACGATTTATCTTGGACGCTTCAAATAACTGAACTTTCACAAAAGTCAGAAAGCTGTCATTCTAGGCCGCTCGGCTCAGAGCCTCCTGCGTTGCTTGTTCGCTTTGTCAATGCCTGTGTTCTTCCCCATTGGACGTACTGTTCCCCTGTGAGATTCCCCGGTCTTTTGGGTAAGCATTTTAAGTTAATTGTCAGATCATTAAAGTACTTAGCCCGATGTAGTGGAGGTCCGACATCTACTTTTACCAACACTCTTATTTCTACACACAAGTTCTTGTAAAAAGCTGGCCTCTAAGATACTGACCGACACAAGCCATTCCCTACATACTGCTTTATCTGAATGCTTATCAACTTCATTTACTATGTAGAAGTACAAGCCAATCTATGCCCGCACACAAGCTTACCGCTCGTCAGTCATCTCTTACCTCTCGTGTCTTTTGCGAGATCCCAACTCTGTCATTCTTGACTTAACCAGTCGAATTTCAACTGTTGTTGTTTGTCCTTATCTATCAGTTCGTTGTGGTATTGATGTGCCACTGATTTACTTTTTTGGTACATTGTCGAGATCCTGTGTGTTGTACCTGAATATTCATCCATGCAGCGTGTATAAAGCAATTCCTTGACTTGATTATACGGAAATGGTGGAGTGCAAAGAAACTGTTAGAAGAGATAGTTCGATTAAAAAATGGCAAAAGTGGGGAGGTAGTAATACACCAGATAGGGTTAGTTAGCGAATAAGAAGGTGAGTGATCCCATTGGAGGGGCAGACAAAAGGATGAAGCACTGTCGACCAGTGAAAATAAGATAATGACTAAGTATTCCTTTCACACTAAGGCCGTTTTGTGCCCCTTGAATGTGGGATCAACAAACCCACGAGGCTGAAGTTTCGATGGATCTACACTCAAACGACAAACTCAAAGCATAATTTTTAACTACATCGAGTTTTCGTCCAATTCGCTAGCGACGTGCGCCGATATAGAAATGTAGAGAGAAAACAGAATTTTCAAAACACACACAGGAGAACGTGTTCCATATCATTTAGATCGCCAATTCAGCGCATTTGATATTACGACCCATACACCACCGGTGGTTTGACAAAACAGAGTTTGCAAATCGGAGAATGGGAAAGGTGGGAACTTTGAATACAGTGTTGAGTAGCCATAAATGGAACACAGAGTGGCACATGAAGCGATATCTCTAAGTGTAAGAAACAGGTGATCAGCTGAATGATTAACTCGTTGATTGGAACTGATGACCAGATCAGAAAGATGGGACCGCGCGTCGTAATGCTAATAGGCCGAAAATTCTGCAGGATACCTTTCACAGGCTAACCACAGGACTGGTTTGCCGAACAACCTCCTCGTGGAGTCAGCTGGGCGGTTCGGGAATTTCCCGTTCCGGCGAATGGTTTGGCGGTAGTGTTCCAGGATGTGGTGGGTTTTCGCCTGGCAAGCGTTCTCCCTATAAAAAGCCACAAATGCGATGTGGCGGATGTGACTTGCCACTAAATAAAGTCACTACCCCCTTATCTCCTTTGAAGACACTGTACACCGGCAAGCAAGCCGAGCATCGGATCTAGTTGTGCCCCTGGCATGGCTTACCGTCATCGGAAAGGCGTATGAACTGAGTGTCCAGTCACCGGCTCCCAACGGGTGCGAACCCCTCATCTCATCCTGCTGCCTTTTACAGCAGGCCTTGGGCCAAAGGTTCGGGCGGTGGTCCCCTAAGACAATCTACCTACCTCGGCCTACGCAACTGGGTAGTGTCTCGCCTCCTGACGAACCATGGACTTACAACTATGACTATTCACACGCTCCCTTACTGCTACGATGCTCTTCACTCGTGCTACTATGCCAACTTCACAAGCACACGCCACCATGTTAGCTACCCTTCTCTTGTACCATTTACACCCAATTTATCAGATTCTTCTACGGCGATCAACCCCATCTACACCAAGGAAACCGTTCCGTGACATCTGCTAACTCAACCACACAGTGCTCAACAGAGAGCAGTGCTTCGGCGGGGCCCGCTGGTGCAGAGCACAACGAACACCGCCGGTCTATTACGCAACAGCTGAAAACAAGCCATCGCGATGATCGTGAATCCTGTTGGTCAAAACAAGCTGATGAGATGGAAACCACTGCATCAGTTGGCAACTACCGCCGTCTATTTTGCACCATCAGGGCCATCGGTTGCGATTCCCACGCTATCAGCCAGACGATTTGCGAATCAGACGACACGAAGATCACCAACTTCCACAGACGATTGGGTCGCTGGGTAGAGCATTTCACTCTTCAATTCAACCACCCAACATAGCCTCCTGTGGCACCTGCAGCCCCAATGCATGATGCTTGGTCTGTCTCCACAGGACCCCAACTGAAGCAGAGATCCGAGATGCAATCCAATCTTTGAAACGCCACAAGGCTTTTGGTCCTAACAGCCTACCAACGGCTCTATTCAAAGACGGTGGGAGGGTACTTGTCGTCGAAATCCCATCCCTGTTCAAGGAAGATTGGACTGAAGAGAAGGTTTCGAACTCACGGGAAGAATCGGTCATTGTTCCGAATCACAAGGCGGTAACTACCGTGAAATCTTGTTAATCACCATCGCATCCAAAATCTTCGAGTAGGTCCTACTTCGCAGGCTTTCAACAACTAAGAGGTTTCCCAAGAAGATCAAGCCGGATTTTGTCCAGGCCGCGATTGCATCGAACAAACCTGTACGTTCCGCCAACTTATCGAACTCGGTCACGTCCACCGGCGGCCAACAATCGTAGTGTTCTTGGACATGCGAGCGGCATTTGATGCAGTAGATAGATTTGCGTTGTGGAACTGTTTACTGAAGAAAGGTGTGCTCGACAAGTTTGTGACCATCTTGAAAGAGCTTTACAGTTACACGTCGGACAAAGTCAGGGCTTACGGCACGCTCTTCTTCGTTTGTTGTGACCAGCGATGTTCGCC